TTTTGGAACTTTCTCTGCTCAACAATCCATCTTCCGAATGTCATGTATCACTCATACGACCTCAGAAATTCACAAACTTAGTGTCGTTGGAAAGATCTTCCAACAATTTTTCTGTCCATGTAAAGAAGTCACCCAACCTCCTTCTGATCTGGAAGTTATGATCATTTGAAAATGGCCAAAACCCACTTTTAAAATATGAAAATTTTCCAGATTTTCCCATTTGTTTTCAAATTTGTTTCTCCTTGTTTTTTTTATCAGCTAATTTTTGTCTGTCTAGAATAAAAGATGTTACAATGGTCCCATGAGAAATCACCAATCCAAGTGCTAAGTGGAGAAATCCAACTAGCCACGAATAGCTAGAGGAGCGTCAGATCCTATATTATAAAATAATATAAGCACAATATGCATAAACATATTGAATATGCAAAACATGCATAAAGGTAAACGTGATAATATAGTGAGTTCAAAATATGATAATACATTACCAAGTAAAGCTAGTCAAGCCAAAATCATGAATGATGGAACAAGGTCAATGCAACAATTGAGAAGTCATAATAAAGCTTATTTATCACTAACCGACATAAACAGTGTGAGATACAAAATATATATATATATATATATATATATATATATATATATATATATGCTCGCCCGCGCGCCTCTACGTTTAAAGGCTAACTTGCTTCAGATCACTCCTTATTTCGTTCAAGAAGGAGATATCTTGACTTGTTCAAAAAGTGAATCGGAACAGAAAGCGATCAAATAAACATAGTACATAGTTTATACATGAATTAAAACAAATATAAAGTTGATAGAAGATTCTTAAAGTATTAAACAATGTGTTACAACATATTTGATGTGTCAACTTGGCTACTAAAGGCCAATAACACAACATTATTAATTTTGTTTTTGACACTCAAATCCTTAATCAATCTCACTTAATTACTCAATCATAATGTCATCTTCAAGCATAGTTTCACTTAGAGTTTTTGCTTCCCCACCCAAAGTTGGTTTAACTTCATTTGGATTTTTCTCAAATACACAAATCTTAGTGCATAGGCACTTACTTTGGAGTTTGCTACAATATAATATCCACCTTCAAACTCCTCTTTGAGACAAGCTTTTCTACATGATGAGTCGGTAAAACATAATCCTTTGAAGATTTGGCTTGTTGATTTGCACGTGTTGAACTTGCACCTCTACAATCATTCAAATATAGTAAAATATATTATAATAAGAGACATAATCGAAATAAATATTGCTCGCATCATGTTTAGAGGAATATATAAAAACAAACAAATTGTTTCAAGAGTTCTTCATAGTTGTCAAACGTATAGCAAATAACTTTAAAGCATGTACGAATTCACAATTCTTTAGGCTTTATTTGAACGGGTCGTAGCCTGCTTAGTCACATTCTTTTTATTTATGATTTCATAAAAAAATTAGAGATCCTACCACTGTTTTAAGGTCAAACTAACTCATATAAATTTGAATAGAGGGAGCAGTTAATATTTTGAAGGAAAAAATAGAGTGATTTTGCACATTATTTTATTTTGAGGCTTAAGAGGAATAATGAGGAAAGACAAACCATAGGAAACAAAGAGCATCATTGCCAAGACAACAATTGCCATGAAGCAAATGGAACGAGCCATAGTTTCTTTTGATGAGTAAAAAAGATTGGAAAACTTTCTTTTTAATTAATGAAAGAAAGCAATTTAGAGTTGTGAACAAACAAGTAACACAATGTGGAGGTAATTTATAGGCAGTGAAATTATAAGAGTAAGCCAATAACATGTGGAGCAATGGTTGTTGGTAGGTCATAAACACAATAAACATGTTCTTGTTTCTTTTACATTTTTTTTTTAAAAAAAAAGAGGTAGATCAGTAAAGAATTGAATCTGTCCATCGATAAAGAAAGATTGCAATTTATAGTTCGAACCTCTTTCCATGAATACGAATTTGATCATATTCTAATATGATTGTCAAATATTTAGTGCGAAATTAAAAAAAATATGTTCCTCCTAAAAAAAAATTATAGGAGTGCTGTCAATTTTAGTGTAAGGATCTATTTGTGGAATTAAGCCGTTGAGTTTAAAGTATAAGTGAAATTAGGGCAAGAGTTAATTATGGTTAACATTCGTAGTTTGGAAGCTTAGATTGGAATTCGACGATTTCATTGGATTAAGGGATGAGTCTAGGCCTATGTGAGGACTTGGTTAAATTTTCAAGAGGTTTCGAGGACAGTTTGGTATGTTCCGGTGAACGTTAGTTCATTGTGATATTCACAGATTTGGGGTCAAGAATACCTCGAATCCGTATTTCAATGGTTCCACTGATTTCGGAATATCGAATTTAGTAGAGTAGCATACTTGATTTGTGTGATCGGGCTTTTGAAGGAATCTGGAGGTTCCTTTCCGTGTTTTTGGTTGAGTCTAGGTGTTTTTGTGTGTGATGATGTTTGTTGCCCATTACTTTGTTCATTTCTATCGCGGGATTCACTCTTGTGATCGCATAAGGGTATTTTGTGTGTTGTTATCATGTGAGGTCGATCATGATCGCGTAGAATTTGAGCTCTAATAATACGATCGTATGGATAGTATCGCGATTGCGATGGCCAATATAAGTGAGTTGACCACAATATTCATTGTGATCCGGTGGCCTTGGAGTCGTCGCAGTCAGGATGAGTAGTCTCATCTCCATTTCATCATTATTTTTTAATTTTCGGAGCTCGGTAGAGGCAATTTCAAAGAAATTTTTTCAAGATAAATCATTTGGATATTTGTTTGTGATCCTAAATCCTCATTTCCCATTAGTAATTTATCTTTTTTGAACTTTAAAGTCTGAGGATTTTTCAACTACTTGAACTATAAAAAATGATACTTTAAGATAGATTTCAACTTGTTTTTTCGATGTGATTTTCACTATTGGGTTCTAAAATATTTGGTCAAAATGTCTAAAGTTGGGAAGAATTTCAGTCTTAAAGTTTTCATCGAAAGGACATTATTTATCTTTCATTTTGTTTTTCTAAATTGTGCATGACCATAAGATTAGATATAAATCCAGCCATAAGAATTCATGATATTTTCTAATTTTTACATCACCATAAGCTTAATTGGCTTCAAGGAAAATGCAAATAAGTATACTAGTTACTATAAGGTTGGGAACATTTAAAAACCTATATGTTATAAATCAGATTGCAATAATAAAGGGATGAATTTTATTATTTTTCCTAATTTTACAGTGAATGGTAAATTTGTAGCATAAATGGTAAAGAATTTAGTGAACATACATTTAGCGATGTGTTAGTTTTTTTCACAAATAAAAAATAATTAGAGCAACAAAAGGTATATTTCTTAATGTCCTTTATTAAACTTGAGTAATTACAAATACAAAATTTCATTTATTTATTCAAATGTATGAACGTATAATAATCTTAGTTTCAGTGTGTGGATAAAATTTATATTGTGTTTTTTAGTCAATCACACATAACAATACAAATTAATAGAGCTTAAATAAAAATAATTCTTTTCTCAGTTGATATTACAACTTATTTACTCTAAATTTAGAGATGTTAATGTCAAAATTAAATTATAAAATTTCTTGGATTGTAACAAAATCTTCAATTATTAAATGCACACATCAAAAGTTCAAAAAAAATCATGCATTTGACCAAATTTAATAATATTGACATTTTGCAATAAGAATCTCATTTATCAAATCAAATATAATATTATGATTATTAAATAAACCACATATACTATATAACTCACATATTAATAATACAAATGTATTAAAATGTGAAATGGTTCACATATCAAATTAGATACGGTGTCATTACGATTTAGGAAATTATAGATTGTAACATTTTTTAAATTGTAAAATACACTTTTCAATGATTGATTTTCTTTCTATATAAATGATATTCTATACAATCTAGTAATTTATTGAGTTTCTCTTTTCGCCTAAGTGTGAAACAGGTTGCCTAATGTATTCCAACAAAGTTGTAAGGATAATAGGTATACACTACTAGAAATTTTACTTACTGCCACAATTCACGAACCGTTGCAATAGACATTCCTATCGTAGCCACAGGTCTAAGGCTACGTTACGTCAACCGCTACAACAGATCGCGTAGCAGTAGATCTATTTCAGTGGTTTGGTACGACGGTTCATATAATTGTAGTCATATATGGACCTATTGCCACGGTTCTCGCTTGAATTACTTGCCGATGGTTAGTGTCGTATTGGTACGGTTATGAACCGTGGGAATGAGGTTTATGCATCAGTTCTATTGAGTCTATGACTACTATTTTTCTTTCGATTCAACATACAATTTCATTATATTGCGACAGTTTTTATAGGGTAATGCAACAGTTTTCAACAATTATAAAATTGTCGCTCAATGGCTATTGCTACAAATAATACATGGTATTGCAACAATTCTTACATTCAGCAACAATTATAATTAAGCTATTGATTCCTATATATATTATTGGTCCACTTCCACAACATTTTGTTATATTGAGCTATTGCAGTAATTTATAACATAAAAATACCCATAAATCGTTCACGAGAATAAATGTTCATTACCAAAATTAGAATTCAAGATCTGTAATTCTAATATCAATAAAAGCAAAATATACAAATATTTTTATAGCATTCATAAAAAGGTGAAACACATGCACCACACAGTTTTCAATCTTCAAATATAACATTTCTAGAACATCAAGAATTCAGCTCCTATGCAAAGTCTTCACTACTGCTTTCATCGCCTTCTTTGATTTCATTACCTACATACAATTAAAAATATATATAAATAATTTAGCAAATCTTTTGCAAGATCTTAATGGATCCACAATAGCCATATATTACAAAATTACTACTCTATATATAAGACATACATATATAAACTCAATTAACTCAAATAACATTAAACTATTTGGAGTATGGACTAATCTAATCATGATTATTTCATGTTTCACTGTGATGACTTTCATTAGATGGGAGGATTTGAGATTTAAGTATAGTAACCTCCTTGGGAAGGCAGCCCAGAGAAGTGATTAATCTAGAAGGTTACACATTCAAACTAGATTTAGTATTGACTACACATAATGTGATTATGATAGAAGTGATTAAGCCTTAAGATCTTTTCAAGCTCGCATTCAATATCTACGATTTCTACTTTCATCTTATCAAGATCGCCTTTTCTTATAACATTGCTAAATATGGATCTAAATGCATTATGAAATGAGCATCATGACTTTTTTATCCTGATACTTTCATCTCTTCAATTTGTACACGACTTGATATATTAGACTCACACCCTTTTGGTAATTTGGCATCTTTTAGGACGGTGCAAAATTAATTTTTCTCATCTGGTGTCATAGAGAAACAAGTTTTAGCTAGATGGATATTTCTTGTATCACAATCTTTTAGAGGTTGAAGCTTATCCCCATTTCATACAAGTCATAGAGAGAATTTATATGATCTTTGGACTTTTCAAGTATATCCAATAAAGACTCAAGCACACTGTAATAAATATTCTTCTCTATGTGCATCACATCAAGATTGTGCCTCAATTTATTTGTTGCCCAAAACGGCAACTCAAAAAATATGAATTTTTCCATACACCATCATTCTTCCGTTTTCTTTTCTTTTTGTTCTTTTCAAATACGTTATTGAATACACAAAGCTCTTCAAGAATTTGTGCACCTGATAATGGAGTAGGTGCAACTTTATGCTCCTTTTTACCATTAAATGATTTTTTATCTCTTCTGAATGGATGATCAGGAGGTAAAATGTCCGATGACCTAAGTAATACATCTTACGACTATGTTTGAGATATTGGGATATTATGATTACAGGTGGTGCATGACCATCTCCCCTTGGTGCTCCATCCAAAAAGCATTGCTAGAGCTAAAAAATCACTAATTGTCCACAATAAAGCTGCACACATTAGAAATGTTTGATTAGTTAGAGCATCATATGTTTCAACTCCTACTTTCCATAGTTCCTTCAACTCCGCAATCAGTGGTTGCAAGTATACATCTATATCATTTTCTGGAGAAGATGGACCTGGAGTAATCATTGAGAATATAATATCTCACACTTCATGCAAGTCCATGGTAATAAATTATAGTTCATCAACATAATTGGCCATGTGCTATGGAAAATGCTCATAGTTCAGAACTTAACCTTTTGAACTTTTAGATTCATCGAATCTCAAACCTTCACACCAATTCAACACCAAAAAATGACAGCATTAATAGTATAACCCAATTGATAAGTTACTAGAAGATTCCACCATTTAAGAAACTTTATACACATAAAAGACTAAAGGCACGCTAAAACATATTTCGAAGCAATAAGGGCAGATTTCTCACCTTTGAAATTCCAGCTGCAGAAAGTGTACAATCTGATTGGTCGTGCTCTTGAACAAAACTTAAGTAGTGACACCACAATGCAACAGACTGCATCAAGCAAATCAAATAACTATCAATACATTTATTTTGATTCTAGCAAACAATTACATGTATTCTAAAATAGTAACAGAGTTGATTGTTCACATGAACAATGTGATTAGGACAAACAGTAACAACTGCTATCTCATTATAAAAAAAACACACAAGGGTGTTTGCTAATCAGTTTAACAACTACTATACATATAAAAGTATTCAATGTATTACTGATTCTAGAGCTAATGAGCAACAGTAGAATAAATCTAGTGACTTATCTATTGAGTGGTTTTTAACAATTAGAGTCTTATATTTTATCATCTTTTAAATAATATATTTATTATATGTTATGTTACCTTTTCAAAAATATATATATTCTTTCAAGTAAACACCCAATTCTAGATAATATATGAAATGTGAAGTGCCTTATTTTCGTGAAACAAATTTGTGAACAAGGATCTTGTATATATATTCTTAGCTTTTGACTTATAAATTACTTTTACAAGCCTATCTAAAAAATAATCTTCCCAATGAATGAATAACACCGAGAAAAAATTCTATTCTACTAACAAACTCTTGTTAGTATCAAAAACAAGGTTTCAGTTGCACTTGCACAGAGACTACAAGAACAATTTAAGCAATGAGTTGCACATCTTTTTTATGTATTATCTTTTTGTTTAGGATAAGAGTTACCCCATCTTAGTTTATGTTAAAGGATTGCAAAGTGTTTAACTAATGTAATTTTAGTAATATTTTACATTTTTACTAGCTTAGTATCAAAAACAAGGTTTGTTGTGACTAGATTCGACATGCAGTGTCCATGTGGTGACAGTGAGACAGAGAAGCATGAACAAGGCCCACTACTACACCAATAGATTTTGGACCAGACCAGTTCAGATTCTTTCTAGTTGAAATCCATATATGACAAGAAACCAACACAAAAATATTCAAAAAGCCTTATCTTCAGACACTAGAGATCATAGATACACAACAATATAAAAGATGATTGTAATATACACATTCTTAAGTCCTGAGTCACTTAATCTCCAGCTATAAATTAAGATAGCAGAAGTTGTATCGTGGGCTTCCTTTATGCTGGATTCTACTTAATTTTGTCTAAACATAAAAAAAAATTCTAAGTTAGCCAATCAAACATGAAAAATATATGCATCCTGAATAATAATACTTCCCTACACAAGAATGAAAAACTTATATTATACTTTTTTAAGTGAAAAATTATAACTTTCGACATACAATCACAATAGAGAATAGCTACTAAACAGTCTTGTTGGTTGCCTCAGATCCTCCCTACCCATCTTTCACTTCTTCAACTATCACTTATTTCTTATCCTCGTCCACCTTTAAACTAAAACAACAACCCATGACTATGATAAGTCAAGTTCTCCCATTGTAATGTAGAAGAAAATAAAATAACAACCTCAAATTCTAACATCAGGAAACAAACCAACAAATAAAAACAGGTACCTACCTAATTGAAGTATGCAGTGTTGTAGGTTTAATAAGAAATTGTTGTTGCTGCAGAGTATGGATATGTGATCCCTAAGAAAATTGGGCTAAGCATTCAATTGTTCTCCAAAAACAAAAAAACACAAATAAAACTACTGGAAGATCAAGACAAATAATTTCCGGTATGTAAAAGGAAGCAAGCACACAAGTTAAACTATATGAATAGTAAAGCAACTAGAAAACTAGAAACCATGCTAAGCAAACTTAAATAAAATTGATAGATAACTCCTAAAATATAATTGGCTAGACAATTCGACGGAACCAGTAATTAAAGCCATATCACTCACGAACAAAACAACAACAAACACAAGAGCATAACTTATACCTCCATCAACTCAGACACACTCAATTTGAAATCAAACAGTCCATTATTAGACATTAACAGTAAATCAAAGAAGAAAAGAAGCATTGGAGCAAAGGAGAATAAGCTTCATATTATCAAAACAAAATGTTAGCTTAAACAAGTAGAGGTCAAAAAGATTACCTTTTTGGGGCAGCGACATTGAGACAAGAACACAGAGAGGTTTCTAACCGATTCTTCTACAGTTATACTTTACCAAGAGTTGACTTCTTATATCTTTGTGTCTTCTGCAATACAAATAAATATTATATAACCATACCACAAAGATTTTCCATCAAATTCATCTCAATAAAGACAAGGAAACTCTTAAACAATAAAGAGGGCATATTCAATAGTAATCTAGCTTATCTTAAAGTCATTAGGCATAGTGAGTCAGCTTACATATAGCACAGACAATCAAAAAGCATTAATGTTTTGAATCTAGAGCATTACTCAATCTCAAAGTCTCTTCAAGTTTAACCCTAAATCCACTTCATGTTTAACCCTAAATACTCAACTCTAACTTCAAATTCGGAGTGTTTTCTTTTCTAATTTCACTATACATCATAGAGTAAAACAGGGGAAGTCTATACACTACCTATATTAGAGCAAATAACATTGATTTAAGGATAACTCATATATTATTTTTTAATATTCTTCAAAAATAATTCAATGGGGACTTAGAAATCATGAACTAGCACAGAAACCTTAAACATTATTCACCTTTAAGACGAATTCGTGGTCGAACCTCAAAAACTTCACCAAGAAGAACGAGCTTGTTGTTCGTTATTGTTTATCTCAACGAGCTTCACCAACAGCTTCTTTATCCAAGAGATTCGTAGTCCTAGAGATTTTGTTTTCCTCAGTAAAAGCTTCGCTGAAATTTCTTGAATCGCTCTCTGTTCTTAGTTGCTCAACAAAAGTTCCATAGCTCACATCGCTGAATGAAGTTTCTGAAAATAAGGTTTTGTTCTTTTTCTTTTAGATTTTTTAATAAGGGATTAATATATCTTGCCAAATTATTGGAGGGAAATATATTTTTAGGATGGAAATATATTTAGGGATAAAAATCAGAATTATTTTCTAAAAAGGGAAAAGGGTCTGATATACCCCTCAACTTTGTCATTTGGAGCTGATATACCCCTCGTTATAAAAGTGGCTCATATATGCCCTTACAGTTATACAAACGGCACACATATACCCCTGCCGTTACAAAACGGCTCACATATACCCTTCATTTAACGGAAGTTAAAAAATTAGTTTTAAATTTATATTTATTACTCTTTTTTTAAAAAAAATTATTTAGGGGTATATATGATTCTTCTATCAAAGTTTAAGGTATATTTTAATTTTTTTTCATACATAAACTATTTTTTGACTTCTTTTATTAATTTGAATTTCTTATTCTTATTTTGTTGTTTTCTTTCATTCCTTAGTTTAAAGAATAAAAAATTAAACTATTTTTTTTGTGTGTATTGTAATTTAATTTCGTATTCGAAGAAAAAAATTGGTCATCTACAATAAGTTTTACAAGAATATTAGTGAAACATAAATAAATTTGATTATCAAAATAATAATTATAAATTAGTCATTGAAACAAAAAAAAAGTCAAAAAAAATATGTTTGACAAAGATTAAATTTACTCATATGAGACTATATTTTTTAGAAAAAATAATAAAAATTTAGATTAAAATTATTATTTTTTTCATTTCCGTTAGGGGAAAAGGGTATATGTGAGCCATTTGTTTACAAGTAGGGGTATATATGAGTCACTTTCATAACAAGGGGTATATCAGCTCTAAATGACAAAGTTGAGGGGTATATCAGACCATTTTCCCTTCTAAAAATAACCGTTACCATAGAGTTATCTATCGCGATAAATCTAAAACTTGTTGCTATAGATTCTCTATAGGGACGGTTATAGGGATGATGCAACAGTTTATTTTAAGAATTATTCTATTAGATTCAAGGATATTTGGCCACAATTATAACCGTTGTAATAGGTGAGCTATTGCTACGATAGTATAACCATTGCTACATAAGCGTTTAAGTCAAATTTGTACTAGTGGTAAAAATACAATATTTTTATGTGGAAACACACGGCTCAAAATGTGTAAGAACCACGACCTGTATCTTTATAAGATTTAACTCCAACTTCACTAAATCAACTCAAGCCTCCACAATAGATAGATTACAAACTGTGCAACCTACCTTAACTTCACGTTATGGATTCGGACTACAACTCTTGTAATTGTAGGAACTAACTCTAATTCCTAAGCTTCAAGACAAACCTCCCAAGGTATGTGTTCCAAACTCTTCAAGTTATCACAACCTGAAGACAACGCTTCTAATTCAGTTTATAGCTCACTGAACTACGATTACATCAAGACTCATTCACAAATAAAAAAAAACACATAAACCCTGTAAAAGGATCAGTTTTTCGATGTGTTCCTTTAGTTCGCTGGTAGCACTTGCTTAGTGAATTTCTCAATTGCTCTTTTGCTCTGCAAGTGCACCAGTATTCTGAACGACTTCACTTCTATTTAAGCACAATTCCTCATAGAGTTATTTTTCACTTCAAACTCCTTATTGACTTGAACTCTCTTAACTCAAAGTTCTACTTCAAGTAAGACTCCTTCTTTAATTCAAACTTCTAGCTTCTTTGGACTTCTTCTTGAAATGATATTCATTGATTCTTTTGTATTGTAGTTGAACTCCAACACTTCAATTCAACAGTAACTTTTAGAGTTCTACTTTAAGTGAGACTCCTTCAATTAAAACTACTTGCCTCTTTAGACTCCTTCAAATCAAACTCATTGATTCTTTCTCTTCAATTCATCACATGTTTATTTTCTTAGGGTTTCTCACGAAATTAACATTATCCATCCCTTAATTTCTGCATTCTTGTCTTTATTCATTTTAGAAGCTTTCTCGAATTCTACTGCTCGTGACAATGCACCTTTGGACAATGTTGACTGACTTGTTTCATCTTTCTTTGTCAATCATCAAAACTGCATAAATCACAACAATAAAGAATTTTCAAAATTTTGTTTTTTTTTCTTTACAAAGTTGATAAATTGATCATGAAAAAAAATGATGATAAAAATGATAAATTATGAGAACTACACATGAGAGGCATTTAAATACATTTTCTTGAACAATCAACAACGCCTTATGTTTAATGTCTTGAACCATTTCAGGTTGATACATCAGTGGATCATATAAACACTCAACCATTTGATTGAACTTAGAGGACCATGTTTCATGTTCTTCTACTTCAAAACACAATCTTATTGTGTTTTCATAGATGACATATGTTCGATCATAAAACCTCCAATTACCATCCTGTGTGAAATAGTAATTAAGATTCACTTTTCGAATTCCACATAGAATGAAAAGTTTGCCCTTTGACAAATTTTGATCATCACTCTCTAGGAGGTCCTTTTGATGTTCAATTGTCCAACAATAAGGATTCCTAACCATCGTATGATTCAAGTTAGAAGAGCTAGACTTAGTGAATTTATGGGGGAAAGGAAGCAAAGAGTGAGCAATGTTTAGATGAAAAAGACATGTGAAGACATTATATAGATGTATACATTTATATATCATGAATGAACCAATCTAAAATATATCAAATTTAATTATAAGGGAAACATGGAAATAACATTAATTTTCTAATTTTTGGTATGTTAATTGTAAAGTCATAGTATCATAAGTGGTAAATTGTATTAAATAAAACTTTCATTTTTCTCTCAAAATTTAATCAAAGACAACAAAGAGGAAAAATGTATAAACTGTGGAGATATAGACAAAATCTGTCAAGATTTTACTTTGAAATTACTTTTGTGATGTGCAAACAAATTTAAATAGCTAAAACAAGTTGTTGGAAACTCAATATAGAAATGTATAACTTAAATGATCCCTTAAAATTTAGGAGTATTCATCTACGTTTTTATTCTTAAATATATCATACTTAGTTTTCTTACAAATATTCATTATGTATGCTACACGTCACTAAGTTCGTTAACATATAGTGAAGTATATTGAGGTTTGATAAATTATTGAAGATAGTTTTTCAGGGATGTTTTGGTGTTTTCGCACTCTTTTAACTCCTAGACTGTGTAGTTTTAGTCTATCCTAAGTGGTACTAAGTGGAAGTTAGTTGACTAAAACCCCTACCATCACACCAAACACATAGAATCATTAGACAATGTAATCAAACTTCTCTAAAGCAAGCACTTGGGTTATTTATCTTCAAGTTTCAGTTTAAGGAGTCAAGCTAGGATTTCCATTTCAGGTGCGTTATTTCATCAATGAGTATTCGTTAATCCATGGAGTCTCAAAGTAAACCTATTATTTGTTGGGGTTTAGCAAGTGTAAATAGAAAAAGAAAAGAGAGAATATTAAAAGTGAGGGAACTATTTTGGAGGGAAAATGAATAGTCATTTGCAAAGCATAAATGAAAAGTCATTTATCCCATATCGGCAAAAGAAAGGGAAATTGTTGTCCTTATATAAGGAAACACTTCCATTACTTCTTAAAGAGCTAAGAAGAAGATGTCCCCTCGCGTTTTCGTCGTCGTCGCTCGGCTTCGGCCTTGGCTTTGGCTTCGGCAAATGATTTGATTGATAAATTTTTTGGACAAAATTTATTTAATCAACTTTTGTTAAATCAAATAAAACCTGTTAATATTATCTCCTACAAATTTGCGGGTAACGGTAACATTCCGAAAAATAGTTACTCTTTTCGAAAAGTCCTTACTTTCCAAAAAGCCGTTATTTTCCTAACAGACATATTTTTTTCAAAAAGTTGTTATTTTTTCCAAAAGACATAACTTTCTGGATAAAATGGGTCTGAACAGATTTCTTTGAACAGACACGTTTCTTGCTGAAAATGGCTATAAAAGGAAGTCAATTTTCGATTTTCAAACACTGAAATTTTCCTTCTCTGCATATATATTTTTCTCTCAAATAAATCAAAGTGTCGATCGACTGAGTCTGTGTGACTTGTTGCTGTTCTGAACTTCGCTGAAGTTAAAGAAATTTGAGGTACCGCTATTTCTTTAACAGGTTTAATCCGTTTTATCTTAGGAGAAATTAATCCATAACCTTGGGTACACTGAGGGGATTAAATTTCTTAAGGACACACAATAGTTTCTGTGGACTCGGATTACTTCTTGTATTTTATGTATTTTCTGTTCGTCTTATTTCTGTTTCTGTTTATTTGTTAACCTTATAAATACAGGTTAATATAACATTATTTAAATTCATGATTTCCATAGAAGTTGGAGTTCTTATATAAAGCATGATTTTTCATTATTTTGCTCATTCTTCTTCATGGATAGTTTGAGCTTGCATTTTCATCTATAAAATCAGTATTTACAGATAGTATTTTCATGAGCTACTCAAATATCCATATTTCTCATTCTTTTTGTAATACTTATTTGACAATATATCAAATGTACACCTTAGACGTGACATGGAGAAAAGGAATTTATGAGACTCTAAACAAGCCACTTGACATAAGAATGACAATATGAATATCAAATAAAGAGATTTCAAAATTAGAATGAAATATAAGTCTCAGAACACATTCATCAAGAGAGTACAAGACTAAAATAATGCAGAAATCAACTATGTCTATCAAAGCCTCTACTACAGCACATATGGTTAGGACAAACCCCTAAACCACGTACAAAGTTTTAAAATTGAAAAGACATCAAAAGTAATAAAATGACCATGGTCTTGTCTTCGAACCATGAGGACTCACCGATCCAAGTGCTAAGCAGAGCAATCCAATAGCCACGACTAGCTAGAGAAGCGTCAGATCCTATATTATAAAATAATATAAGAACAATGTGCATCAATACTTTGAATATATTGAATATGTGAAACATGCATAAACGCGTAAACGTGATAATTCATAATATGATAATACATTACCAAGTAAAGTGTAGTAAAGCTT